TCCAGAATACACTCTTTCTTACCTTTAGTCACGTGCCGGATTATTTGATCAGCCAGTTGTTTAGGGCTATGGTCCGGGTTATCCACCACACTATTATTAGTATGTGGAGAAAGTTTATCATATGACCTTGRATCCACTTCTGTTCCCATGACAACAGTAACAATACGAACACCTTTCATTTGCAAGTTCCTAGCTGCTTGATTGACATCACCAGCACTGCTCTCTGATAGGCTGTCTGTGATGACGACCAATACATCTCTTCCTTCAGGCTTRGGACCGCTGAACAATCGTTCTGCTTCAACCAATCCAGAAGCAAGGTTGGAACCACGTGGGTTAGATGCTAATGAGCGAATGTAACTCTTGAGTTTCTCGTCAGTTGAAAAGGAATCTCCAAATCGTAGACGTGTGCGAGCATTAACGCCATATATGATGAGTCCATAGTGTAACTTGCGGCGTCCAAAGGAGTTGATAATTGATGAAATGRTGTCTGTTATTCGAGCGAATGAGTCCGAGGCGTATCGTCCGTTTGCGTTGATAGCGAAAGCCAAGTTAATAGGGTCTTTGGATACGCCTAGTAGAGACAACATCACAATAGTCAACTTTAGATATTTTAGTTCGATAACTATGTACAAAAGAACGCACACGAGGCTCCGGGAAAACAATGGATAATCTTGATTTATTCTTTTATTTCCCCGGAGCCTCGTCTACAATTCTTTTGTGCATGGTCACTGAACCAAAATATCTAAAGTCGGCTATTATAAAGATCATTAACATGTAGGGGATAAATTGAAATAATAATAGTACCTTCTTGRCATAAGATGTGTGCGATATCCCGTATTTTGAGAGATAAATCGCTATAGTCTCCAACTCTAACTACGTTTCTGTTCTTCTCTAAAGATAGCTGGTACATTTCATTATTTGATATACTGCGTCCAATTCCTACTACAATTAGTGTGACACGTTGTTCCTAATAAACACGAAATATAGTAAATGAAGGTCACAATGAGCACCAAAATGTATAAACATGCACAACTATAACAACAACAACAAAAACAAACTACTAAATAACTACAATAACAGTAATTCTTGGTTTGCACGTTACGTCACAGCGGCCATCTTGGAGGAACTTTAACAAAGGATTTCTCATTAGTATCTATTGTTCATTCCTCCAACATGGCCGCCGGTCTTTTATCTTTTGGATCTCATGGGAATGGGTGAAAACGATCAATAGCAACCCCGTTAACATAAGAAATAATAAAAACAAAACAGCATTTGAACAAAAGACAGCATAAACCGTAACAACAACAGCGACAAGAGCTGTGACAACAAGAACAACAGCAGCAACAACTTACAGCAACAGTAGCAGCAAAACAACAAAAACAACAATTTAAGAGGCAACAAAAACGGTAAGAGAATGCCCAGAAATAGTGTTACAATTACAAAAAGTAAAAGTGATATCTACAGGAAGCTGTAAGAGAATGACCAGAATTCGAGAATTTGTACAACAATTTCAAAACAAAACAATGCTAGCAAAATCTACAGGAAGCTTGACGGTCATCGTATTTACAATACCTTCAGAGGTTCAAGWACTTCAGCATAGGGAGCAGACCCTAACGCTGTATCATAATCACTAACAATCACCAACAACCTTGGAACATTAGATCTTGCACCTCCCTTGCTACTAAACAGTTCCTTTGATGCTTCAAGAAGAGCTTTGTCWGTGCGTGGAATTCCAGCATTGTAAGCAACATTGAAAATCTTYCTCTTGAGCTTCTCTGCATCAGCGTTAGCTGCATCGTTGAAAGTGAAGTCCARGAATGGCYGTTCGTTGTAGTGTATGAACCCAAAACGAGTGCCATCTTTAGAGATGTTGAAATAGTCAACCAGTTTAGTAAGCTGCTGTTTWACTAGYTGGTAGTTAAGCGGYCCAACCTTGCGCGAAGAGGAGAGAATGATACCAACATCCATAGGCTGTGARCAAGCTAAAGGGATTAAAWAGCTTTGTTATCATCAAYACAARAAGATRTCAACAGTTGCATACACAACMAAAGAGGCAAAGGTTATTCTGCTTTCTGATTGGTTACATATATAGAGGATATTACATGTTCRYACGAAGMTACGGATTTTATCATCGAGTATTGAAAAAATCTCTCACAAGTGAATATATATTTATCTATAAAAGTAATATATAGAGATACGACAAATGTGCTATTTATACGAATGAAAATAACTTTTCCAAAATGAGAAATATAGCTATTTCCCAGATTACTATTTATAATTTAATTGTCTATGAAATATCTATATTTCCTTATATGATAAACAGAATATTACATGTTCACTTAGAGACGAATTCCATCTTCGTTACACTCACTCGCGAGAGATATTTTCAACACTCGAAGATAAAATCCGTACCTCCGCGCGCACATGTAATATCCTCTATATTATAAATTTTCTTTAGTATAAATAGTATTATTTACTAGGAAATTCGCTTACATCCACAAGGTCCAATATTCCAGAGCTTTATATCATTCTTATTTTGACATGCTGTTGATTCCATRACACATTGGTTGGAATAGTCTTTCTGGTCACTGCCACAGACAGGGTTGTCTAATCGAGGACACTTATCACGACAYTGGCACCTTGTACGGCCATCATAATACCAGACACACTGGCCATGGTACTGACATTGAACCTTCTTGCATGGATCTGGAAAATAATCATTAGAATACACAGAAATGSCATTGATGACCAGGAAGAATTAACCATTTGTCTGGTAATTGAGAAAAATGAATGACTTTTATTGCACAATAAATACCACATCACTTGTCATGTGACTTCATTATCATAATAAATTGATTTACCTTTAGTAAGGGCGATATAAGTGCCTGGTACYACWGCTGACAAATCCCTCGACGTTGCAAAGTCAAATATGAACTCATTGCCTGACGTGAACTCCAGAGGGATCCCCCTGTCAGRACKTTTTCCCACAGCTACAGAAATGACCTTTATGCCYTTGTTCCGCAGAGGAGCAGAGGTCACTCTCAAKGCATTTCTGTCTTCRCTGATACTTTCTCCAGTCARAATAAYCARTCCTTTAATAGCATTAGGTCGTACAACACGGAAGTCATTGAGGAGTTGTTGCCCAAGTCGAAGMGCACTTTCTACTGTCCCTCCCCTCCTAAGAACAGTGCTGTCAATTATACGCTTGACGTCATATCCATTCAAGATGTTGAATCGTGTGAGGGTTTGTCCTGTGCCATAGTTTATTAATCCAAGTCGAATACCAGCATGCGARGTACCATAGCTGTCCAGGAAGGCCTTGATAAAGTCTTTTTGAAGTTGGAATGTTTGTTGGTTGATCTGGTCAGATCCACCAAATGCAAAAACAAGATCAACAGGTTGCTCTGAAATGAGAATTTATATTACAATAAGATAAACAATATTATAAAAATAGAACAATTATAAGAATATTAAAATAAAATAATTGTGAATRGACTGTTATAATATTAATAAAAGATTGATCTAGTCCCATTAAATGTTTAAAAAACTAAACGAAAATCTCSATAAAAGCTTCTCACTTGTTTAAGAAAACATAGCCGTACTTAAAAGAAAAAAAAGGTGTTGGGTGCTAATGGTCCTTCATGGCAGCATGGGTGCCGAATTGCAAAAGACGCAGCCCGACGCGCTCTCAACTCGAAGTGCTGTATTACAGACACATTTTACATAAACTAACACATATAATAGGCGTGCTGCAGGCTAGGCGCTTCCTTTACATACAGTTATGTAAAAAGATAAATTTAACACCGTAAAAAGTATGTGAAATAACTTACTGACGTTTCGGACGTTAATCCTTCGTCGGAGTAAAAGTGATGAAAATAGGTAAAGGGTGAGTTTGGTTTTTTTTTCCTTTACATAGCAACGTCGACTGAAAACGGAGCTCAGCAGATAGAAATGGTTCGTTTTTACTGAGGGAGGAAAAACCGGAAAAAGACCCGGGCAAACCCTCGAAGCAAGGAAGAGAACGAATTCAAACAAACTCAAATCACATATGACTTACGTATGCAATATCCAGAATGCAAAACATTGACAAYTTGTGATCTCCTACAAGACTCTGCTCTTAGTTTACACTGGTTATYATATGTTATTCCATCTGTACCACAAACACGGGACTTTACACTGCTACATGTTGATGGATCAGGGCAAACGCACACAGCACCACCGATACCAAGAGTACAGTAGGAGTGGTAACGACAGTTWAGTCTTTGACATGTTGGTTCTATAAGAGAAAGTAACACACAATGCATGTATTATTCTAAAATCTAAAAGACTTAATTTTAGATATATTATAACACAAAATTTGCAGTATAGCTCAATGAAATGCAAGAGTTCAACAAATAAACATATTCGAGATTATTTTTTTTTCGGTCCGGTATCCTAGTCATTCGCGCGCTGTGATTGGCCAGCGCGCAGTCCGGTTTTTCACGATATGGCCGGTCCACGGTATCCTGCAGCTAGGTTGCGAGCAAAGTTGCATAAAATACAAATAAAAAATAGATAAAAGTCTTGATTACCGGCTATAGGTCGGTCCGTAAAGAAAAACACTGCCCTCGGTCTTTTATGTACGGACCTCGCTGCGCTCGTTCAATACTGTCAATACCTCGGGTTGTTACTTACCAACAACACATGCTCCYTTGTGCCACAAAACAATGTTCTTCTTTATGTTACAAGCATAAGATTGAAGAGCTTTCTCGTTTTTGAATGTTCTGCCATTAGTGCCACATACTGGACTATTGATGGGATCAACTTGGCTATCACACTCACATACTGCACCATTTAGACCAGCTTTTCGTGAACACCGTGAGTAGTGRAAACAGCGCTTGAATCGACACGAGTTGATATCTTTGAAAACAATAGTCATAGTCATTACATTTTAGGAATAATTCATTGTGTCATACCTAGCTTAATCTGATAATTCTTCATATTGCACTCCTCCTTATCCAATATTTCTTCATATCACACTCAGCCTATATCCAATATTTCTTCATATCACACGTATCCTCATCCAATAATTCTTCATATTACACTCAGCCTCAAGCGATAATTCTTCATATTGCACTCAGCCTTATCCAATAATACTTCATATCACACTCAGCCTATATCCAATATTTCTTCTTATCACACTAAGCCCCATCCATTAATTCTTCATATCACACTTAGCCTTATCCAATAATTCCTCATATCACACTAAGCCTCATCCAATAATTCTTCATGTCAAAAGAACTCTAATTCAATCCATGAACTTGCTTAATATGACTGTGACGATTATGAGGTCATAAATGATAATGAGGATGACTAATGTAACTGTTTAATAATATAACAAAATGATAAAAGAACTTTTACCTTTAAGAATTGCTTGAACTGTTCTCCTCAAATTCTGGATGAGTTGATCYGAGGATACCACAGGGATAATAAAGTCATCCCCAGGAGCCAGATTCCGTACTTTACTTACAGCGCTAGGGTCTCCAATAACAATGGGTATAACTTTAATTCCTACAGACTCTAATGGCTCTGCTATATCCCTCAAGGTGCTTGCTCCATTGATACTTTTACCATCTGTTATGAGTATGATGACCTAAGTGAAAAACATCAAATCTAGAACTTGGACAGAAAGACACCTAAAACCTTATAACTGCAGCCCTTTGTGACTTGGAATTTGTCTGGTATTTACCCTAGCATTTTTATTAAACAGTAAAAAACATCAAAGCTAGAACTTGGAGAGAAAGACACCTAAAACCTTATAATTGCAGCCCTCTGTGACTTGGAATTCCTGGATTCGATTCTACCTGGTATTTACCTTAGCATATTTATCAAACAGCCAGTAATCCCTGTATATTCTCCTTAAAAGACCAGGAACCGCATCTCTTAAGGACTTGTCCAGGCTTCCCTTTCCCTTCGTACTCTCCATAATATCAATGTAGGGAGTTATTTGCGAGTGGTCTTTGAACAAGTACGGCTCAAATACAGCTCGGCCACTGGGTGTAAAGAACATCATGAAGTGSGATATTCCACCTGTAGGGATCTCAAACTGGTTTGCAAGTTGCTTKAGGAATGCCTTGCTGTGTTGTAGTTTGGTTGGCTCATCACTACCACGCGCATCAATTGCAAATGAGAAATGGACTGGTCGTTGAAGATCTGGAAAAAGATTTCATAAAAAGTACAATGAACATACTTGAAATTTTGCATACCAGTTAGTGGAGGACTTGCTTTTTACTGAGACCCACAGTAAATCATAATCCAGTTTCATTCCATCTTTCAATGACTATATATACAGTATAACTTTGTATGATGTACGTAACGAGAATAGTCTTCTTCGTCGTTCTCTTTGCCATCTTGAAAGGTAGCTGAGTCTTCGCATCGAACCAAGACAATTGTTGAGCGTGCAATGATAGAAACCCTCTTTCACACCTACAGACAATTATTCACGCGTATCTATCATTGCACGCTCAACAGTTGTCGCTTCAATGCAAAGGCATGTCTACCTTTCAAGATGGCGCAGGGAACCTTGAAGGAGACTATTTGTACAGTTGTACTCTAGCTCAGATAAAATAGCAATCTCACTCTCCCCCCTACCAGATTCTCCACAGTCCCTGAGTTACTGCTGGTACAATACTTACTGCAAGCTCCATAACTTGCCACAGTTATCGTTATCCTTCTCTCACATGACTGTTTTTGTAGATAGCACTCATTATCATAGGTATCCCCATCACTCCCACAAACAGGGTAATTGACAATAGGACACTTGGATGGACAGACACAACGATGGCTTTGACCACTTGATGTAGGGACACATACACCATAATAATCACAAGTTACCATGGCGCAGACTTCTATAGTTGTATATAGATTAGTTAAGAATCATTATTGAAGATTATGGCTCAAAATTCTGTACTTCTCACAAGAGTTAATTAAAAAAAGATAAATAAGTAAGCAAATTAACATACTTATTTATCTTTTTGTTGTTTTTTTCTTTTTGTGATAAGCACATTATTTTGTAAACCATAAAATCAAATGAGCAATAAGACAGTTTAAATTTTGCATTTTATATGTGAAATTGTACAAAATTAAAACAGCACAAAAAACTGTACTAAATCTGCCACTAAAGCAGAATGTCCTTTGAACCACYATTGCTCTTGTTGAAACACGATTTTCTAAATTGCTCAAAATAGTACAAAGAACAAAACAAAAAGTCATAAACAGTATAMAAGACATCGACAAACAGCAGGCAAGAAGAATGAYGATGAAGAAGAACTATTTCTTGCAATTCCTTGAAGACCGTTTTTAAGGAAGAATGCCCTAAGGCTGTGGTACAGCCAATGGGGAAGACATGATGATGATAAAGCGCTTATAAAGAGATTTAGTGAATAATAAACTTACTATGTGTAGCTTTGCAGACAGCCTGTGTAACTATCAGATCACCATCAGGTTCACACTGTGCACACCAACCGCCACACTTTGCAGATACAATAGCTCCATCAATAGATTTTTCATAATTTTGCATCTCAATTCCAGGGGGGAACCCATGCGCCTTCCAATGCACTGATGATCCTAGTCTGAACCCAGATCCAGATAAATTGATCTGTTGAAGGCAATCAGTCAATAGTCTTTTTCATGGTTACATGTGCCATCTTGAAAGGTAGCCGTGCCTTTACATCAAAGCGAGACAACCATTGAGCGTGCAATGATAGAAACCTGTGAATAATTGTCTGTAGGTGTGAAAGAAGGTTTCTATCATTGCACGCTCAACGTTCCTCGCTTCGATGCAAAGGCACGGCTACCTTTCAGATGGCGCAGGTAACCATGAAGGAGACTATTAGTCAATTAGGCAATCACTACGTAAAATATATAATATTAATCCCACCTTAAAGCGTCCTCGTCGACATGGCCCATAATGCATTGAGAAGCAATCTCCAGCGGTACCAAAAGGAACTTGTTTTCCAAAAGGATCAGTAATTGCAAAKGTGAAGTCATCTCGAATAATTCTCATCTTGTTCACATCAAGTCTGACTTTGTTAAACTTCGTATGACCAGCATTTGTGTAGTTAAGAGGACCTGGGGGGCCGTTACACTGATAACGTGCAGATGGGGGGAAACGGCGCTGTCTTTGTGGATAAATAAATGCATAATTCTCYTCGGCACCAGCTGCAAGTGTTATGTACTCTTTAGGTGAAGCAGTRTTCATATCATGGCAGTAAACTTGTACAGGCATGTTACATGATGAGTTYGGGTAAAGAGAGTAGATGCCATTGACCTTAGCTATCCCAGCATTCTTCAGTCCAGCACAACTAGTGGATCCTGAGAAAGGTTTTTAAAAGGAGAAAAGTTTCTTTGTTCATTCAAGAAAGATGAAATTCAATTGCAATAGTCTCCTTTTACAACAATTCCCTGTGCCATCTTGAAAGGTAGCTGTTGTCTCKATTCAATGTAAAGGCACGGCTACCTATCAAGATGGCGCAGGGAACCGTGAAGGAGACTATTGTTGATCCTACTTCTGGATGAATTGATGGATGAATGATTGACTGAATTACATAAATGGACAGATGCATGGAGTGACAGAGATATTTTGAGACAGACAGACAGATGGATAGAGAGCAGATTGACAGATAGGTAAATAGACAGATTACAAAGGATTGATAGACTTGGTCAAAAAGATCAAGACCTAATAGACTTATAAATGGAGGGTCCATTAACAGATGTACAAACATGGGTTAGACAGACAGACAGGATCATGGGTAAACAGGTAGACTGGGGGATGGACAAACAAAAAGATTGACAGACATGGAGGATGATCATAATCTTACCACACTGTCCATAGTGTCGTCGATAGATGTACCTCTGTGCCTTACATCGAGCTACTGACAGCAAGCAAGGGTTGGAATAGGTCTTGTCGTCACTTCCACATACTGGTTCATACTCCTTAGTACAAGCATTTCTGCACTCACACCGCGAGATACCATTTGAGTCTGTTATACACACACCACCAAACTGGCATGGTTGGACACGGCAGGATGGTATGTTTCCATTGCCAACATTGYCATTGCTGCTGTCATCAGAATTATCTGCATGGTTAATTAATTAATAGATGTGTCATATTATAAAGCCAACAAAACTACAGATAATTTTTATTGTCTTCTTTGTACAGAGTGTTTGCATACAATAGGATCTCTGCTGAATAAAAGAATATATTACATGCTTTCGARGTTAAGGCTGCAAAAATAGATGTCGAAAGTGGAGTATCAAGTATATGATAAAGTCAAATCAAAACTTTTGAGGATAATAGATCAACCAGTCTCTAATTCTATCTTTTATCTTATTGTCTATTGTAGCTAMGATTTCATAATTGCAGTTATTAGATTTTGTTTATTTTCTAGAGCCGCTTTATACAAAGGACACAATTTGTAAGAACASAATACAGTTAAGACAATATAATAATCAAGGGAATAATAATATTGGTGGGGTCTAAAACTTTGAAACAAGAATGACAACAAGCTCTCGTGACTAAAAACAACATTTTATCWCGTTTATAAACACTGCATACAAACCTTAACGCTACAGGAAATCCCCAAGAGAAGTTAAGAAAACTTAAGGTTCAGATTTYCAAAGATTTTTGAAATTAAAAGGCAACAAACAAGTTCAGCATCTTTCTCCATCCTACCGACGAACTGAAGATTCCCGCGCTAGTGCCAGTCTTTGCTCGGTCTCCGCGCTATCAAATTTCGTCTGTCGCGCGCAGATTTTGCCCGAAGGAACTAAAWTAAAATGTTTAACATTGCAAAAAGCTTTGAATCCGTTGTTAAAATCTAATCATTATTTCACAATCTGGAGTGTTTTTTTCCGTTTTGGAAAACCTGATACATAAGTTTTTATTTATTGTATGGGCATTCTAAAGTTACGCACTCTAAATAATGTAAATACAATTATCAAAAAATTCAATTTCTAAGCGATGACCTTTTACATCAACAGCAGCGAAATGAATGGGTTTTTAATGAGCAAACTCATCATTCGATGATTTTTCCATTGAAAGGGTCGAAGATGGATAAAATGTGCGCGCTCCCGATTCGAGACACTGCTTATGGGAACTGAGATCTTCATTTAGAGATTAAGCAATAATTGAAAATGGGAATGAATGAATAGGAATCAAAACACAATCATTCACTAATCTTCCAATCAGGACAGAGTTAGATTTGCGATCGATGACTTGTGCGCGCAGTGTGATGTTCAAATGGTAAGCAACAAGTTTCCTATTTGAAATGTTACAGCAATAGTCGCGCCTGGTAGATCTAATTGCGCATTAAAACTCACATTTTACAAAAGATTAACGACAAATCCCGGCTATCGTAACCTTAGTATTATCTAAAATCGCCTTACATGTCAAATCAAATGTCATTTGAAATCARAACACACACTAGAAACGTTAAATAAAGACGTGGTCAGTGCTTTGAAAGTTTTYTTTTAGGATCCAGTTTCAATCTCAGCGGTCTTTTTCATCATTTACAGTCAAATCAATGCAATAATTTAACTATGAATTATATGTTCGGCTGTATTTATCAATTCAGCGGGAATCCAGCAAYCTTGATCTTCTAAAGGTCAGGAAATACAGCTAAGTATTTACCMACTGTGCCGACGACATCCGGATTAATGATTGATTCTGAGGTAACTTGACATTAGGGAACCAAAAGGTGAAGTGGAAACATCACGATATTCAGCTAGAAAATGCTGAACGCATCATTATTATATAGTTAATTTTAGCGATGATGGTAAAGTGCTTTTAATCAACGCGGGCAAACCTTTTATCATTTACTGAGGAAGGTCATCKTCTTGACCGAAACGTCTGAATTACCATCGTGTTTTTTAAACCAGAGTTAGTAAAGGGGAACTATAAAGCTAGTGTCAAAAATGAAAATTCGTGCGCTTCAAAGTTTGTAAATTTGCATAATGTAGATATGATGTAAGTGTCCAAAATTCTGTAAATTTGATATCAATGACGGCCATTAAATTTACAGAATTTTGGACAATTACATCATATTTACATCAAATTTACAACCTTTACTGCGCGCGATTTTTTCCAGTGACACATGTTTTTTAATATTTAAAACCTAAAAACGTCCCTTAAAAACGAACCGTCCTGATTAAGTATTGACATTAGTCAGAGACTCTTGTAAAAAAAACTCAGCGAAAGCCCATAATAGAAATATTAAGTGAAGACGACTACGTTTACAAAGAGAACTCCTTACTCATGCGTTTTCGTTTTCGTTTCGTTGTATCACAAATTTTTACACTGACTTTGACTATTACACTATGATTCACGTGTTTAAGACTGAGTCATTCGAAACGATAGTAAATAATGATTGCGATGATGGTGATGATACCAGGACTAATCATCATCATCATTAATTCTACTCCACCACGTGATATAATTATAACTTCCTGGGCACGTTCGTATATAAACCACAGCGGATAACATCAATCAAATCCTTCACTCGCTAACCTCCTACGCAGACGGTAGTTCTAGACACCATCAAGAGAATCGTTGCAGGAGGCTATCGATACACATGAGAAAGATAAACCTTTCCAGTCGAATATATGATCACTGGTCATGCAATGAATCAGCCGGGTCAAATATTGCATGCATGAGTAGAAATGGCGGGAAAAGATTTGCATTAACGCGCGCGAACTCGTGGTCCAAAGTGAAGCGTTTTTAATAAAAATCCACGTTTTGCGTCTACATAAGGGTAGTTGTTGACGAGTCTACTCAGACCGAGTGGTTGATGAAGAAAGCAAATTAATACAACAAATAAAAAACGCCAAAAAGTACATTAAACAAAAATCAATATATATTTAATAAATAAAAAAACGCAAAAGAACATGTATTTATATATATTACTATAAATGTCTTTAAACTTTATATAAATAAAGGAAAAGTATCATTTTCACAGATAAGCAATCTAGCGTAAAAACGCTCCTTTTGGCAAAGTCTTTTAATGGTGACCAAAGGTATTATAAATTTAACAAAGGACTCGAAAACAGGCTTTGTATTTGATTCAATAAAAGTATGAATTTTTTATAATTATTCGTATCTTCCGCGTCAGTTGAATCACAGAAATTAGCAGGCTATAGCAACTATTTAAATGTTGAAAAAATATCAACTTCGTTGAACAGACAGAAAAACTGAAAATAAAAAATTGTAAAAACTTTTGACACTTGTGAAGAAAGTTGTTACGTCGATCAAACAGTTCTCGAAGTTTGAAAACTTTATGAAAACACTGACGTTTTTGTTATTATATTGATACCAAGCAAACTAAGTACAAATAGATTGCCCGTGATGTTCTAAGTCGTCGAAAGACTGAAATTTGATATTTATTGCACATTTAAAAAATTTCATTGACCTCGTGGACGCTCTCGAAAAATATTCTAAATCGGACGCAAGCCAATTTATATTTGCGGAATTTTATATGATACATACATACTAGTGATTAAAAGGGAAACACAAAATCAATGCAAGAATTTAAAACATAAAATATTATAGTACCTCGTAGATGTTGTTTAATTTCTTGCAAGTTTACTGGAAGATTAGCAAGCGATGCTTTAGCATTGAGTTTCCTGTTAGCTTGTCTTTGAACGACCCATAGACGAGTATTTCCAACGCGATGTAGATGACCACAAGTGTACGCGCGTTGTATCTCTTGTATAGTTTCAAAAGCTGTTAAATCAGTCGCTCCATGATAGATTATACCAACTCTGACCTCTGCAGTGAGATAACCACTTCTGTCTCGTAACAGAGTTGTAACAGTTCCTTCAAAAGCRTATAATCCTCGTCCTGTGAAAGCTGGCAGAGGCGGGCATGATCGTGTAAAAGGATCTGTWATTGCGGTAACGTTATAAACAAGAAATATCGCCACTAKTAGAAGTTTATAAACCAACTTTCCACTGACTATCATCTCGCTATCGCTTGTTAAATCAGGACCACATTTCTTCGAGTGATTCTACACTATCATTGACAAATGTCGCAGTAAGTATTTATAAATCAGCCAGGAAATATCCTTCAGGATCCGTCGACTCCAGCGGCACTGAACAGAGAAAACTATACGCTCCAAATGAACACTAGGTGCTCCTTGAGCAGTGCGTATGGAGTCAGTAATTGAATACTCCGCTTCCGTGAGAAGAGCTGAGCTGAGAAGAGATTTTCATGCCATGAAAATCTATTATACCGGGCGTAATCCAATGAGAATGAGTTCCCACAACAATGAAAGTCTTTTTTGTTGCRCGCACAGACTTTATTTGTAAGGAGGGTACACTATTTTTTTTATAGAATAATAAATGTTTTTATAATAAAGTGTGATATTGCATAACGGTAGTGTATATCTAAGCGGTATTCATTTCAGGGGGACTGTACCCATCCTACAAGTCCAGAAAGGTTAACTAATTTGAAAACTTGGCCGGATTCCACAACTTAAAAGTCGTGATAGATCTAGAAGATCCATAGTTCGTGTTGACAAACGTTATTTTTCCACGAAATTTTCCATGCATTTCTTTAATTGTCGCTTTCCGGTGACGTCATGTAGTGCTATATTTCAAGGGCGGGTCCCGGGGAATTGAACGGATATCTCCAATCCACAACGCCGCAGTTTCACCTCTTCGATCGCTCATTATCTAACTTCTTTACAAACTTATCACTTAATGACCAAACTACAAATTTCTGTTACGATCTTTTAGTTTTAGTATAAAAAAGCATTTGCTATTGAGTATGGACTCCGTTTGTTGGAAAAAACAGCTTTTAAATCCATTCAAATCAGGGCGAGACAGTTGTGTTTTCATTTTTAATGGGTAGATTAATATCGCTATTGAGCCTATGATTTTGGTAGTCTGATCCCACTTCAACTCATTCAGTGTCTTGATCATAATAAACTACTTGTGTTGAATTAGAATTACCTAAATGCGTTAATACTACGAAATCTCAAGATGACGGGAATTAGAAGATTGGTGGTCATGAACTACTCTTTGTATGTTTTTAATCTCTTATTTTCCCCTTTAGAATACTTGATCATGATTTGGTAGTTATTTTCGTATTGAGAAGGCACATCGAACACTGGCAACGGCTWCAARGGAGATCCATAGCGTGGCACTGGTAATGACTGAAGTCTGACGCATAGCGTGACAATGGCAACGGCTGCAAGGGAGACGCATAGCGTGACACTGKTWWCAACTKCAAGGGARACGCATAGCKTGACACTGGTAATGACTGAAGTCTATAGCTTGACACTGGTAATGRCTGCAAAGGAGACGCATAGCGTGACACTGGTAACAACTGCAAGGAGATGCATACCGTGACATAAATAATGGCTGAAGGAAGACGCATAGCGTGACACTAGTACTAACTGCAAGGAAGACGCATAGCGTGACACTAGTACTAACTGCAAGGGAGATAACTGGTAAATTGTGACTGGTAACTTGTGACTGGTAACTGGTGACTGGTAAGCATCTTGAAGATACCAGCTGCAAATGAGCCTGCATAGCATTATACTAGAAAAGTCTTCAAGGGAGATGCATAGCACAGCACTGGTAACTACTGGGAGAGATGCATAATACACCTTTTCAGTTGCTCTTAGGCCTCGACAGCATGTTAAATATTCTTTTGAATTTGTAGGATTGTGAGCAATGTACACATTGATATGAACAGTCTCAATTGTCAAATGCAAAAGAATAATTAACTTGCTATCGAGGTTTAAGTGCAACTGAAACGGTGTATTTAACATGCACAGTGAGGAAACAATGATCAACAAAATGTTTCTAGTTTAAAAATGATTTMATGTTAAATACAGAGTATCTTACARCGTTACCTATAAAACAATTYCTACAATTGGTGACTATGAYGAYGAGTTATTTGTTGCTAKTTCATGTTTTCTACTAAGAATCTCTTTCTCCAATTCCAAGCAAGCTCGCTCTATTTCGTAGTTTTTTGAGACAAGTCCAACCCAGCTGAAAAAGAAACCATGCAAAGTAAGAACAACATAAAAACCATGATGAACGAAGCATGAAGGCAAGCAAAGCAAACACAACCAAGGAAACAAGCAATAAACAAAAAATAAATAAACAATCAAACAACAAGCAACCAAAGCAGCAGAAATGCATAAAAGAAAGCATTTATCAAAATATACAAGACAAAAACAACAAAAAACAGAAAAGAGTAAGTAATAAAACAAGGAAGCAAAAAAATATATAATAGTCTACAAGCAGAAAAACAAACAAACAAGAAAAACATTTATTAAGAAACACAAGAAAATTAAGAAATACAATTAAATGTCCACATAAGCAAAAACTTACCTGTGCTCTAAATGTTGTAATTGATCTCCAGCTGCAGACTGATAAAAACATAAAAACATTTAAACAATTTGAAAACAATTTGAATATATTATACCATTAGAATATGCCAGACACATGTTTAATTAAATGAACCTGTTCTGATTTCCTTTGCCAGTTAATTTCCTGGACTTGTTTTCTGATGTCCAGTAATAGTTTCTGTTGTTGGTCAAGTATCTTTGATAAAAGATCACAATGGACTCGCCATGCATTAGGACCAAACTTCGATAATAACTCCAAATTGATTATTCTGGAATCAAAAGAATTTCATTAATACAGATTAAAACCCTTTTTCTTCTTAAACCGTTTTTTTCTTAATGACCAGGTCTGTCTACTACCTCAGCAGCAAAGTTTCTAAGTGATCATAATATACTGCATTATGTTGTAATATTGTACTGCACTATTGTAATACCTCTCAGCTTGATGTTCTAGTTGAGCCATTGAGTTATCCACAGCTTCTGTCCAAGCTGTTATGTCATGTTTCTGCGCAGCTGCTGGTTTAGGAAGTTCATACCTACAAAAAAGAAAAAAATATTTTTCATATCAATAAATAAAGTAATTTACTAATGTTCTGTGCAAAATCAAATACCTTTTCATGCTTAGAAGTTCCATTGGTTGTCTTTTACCAATTCTATCAAACTCATTTTTCAAAACTGGTGTCTAAGAAAAGGATATGGAGATAAATGTTACAATAAACATTGTATTTTGAAGTTGTNTGCCAGTTAATTTCCTGGACTTGTTTTCTGATGTCCAGTAATAGTTTCTGTTGTTGGTCAAGTATCTTTGATAAAAGATCACAATGGACTCGCCATGCATTAGGACCAAACTTCGATAATAACTCCAAATTGATTATTCTGGAATCAAAAGAATTTCATTAATTACAAATTAAAACCCTTTTTCTTCCTAAACCATTTTTTTCTTCTTAAATGACCAGGTCTGTCTGCTGCCTCAGCAGCAAAGTTTCTAGTGATAATAATATACTGTATTATGTAATGTATACAGAACGAGAGAGCGTGTTGTATCGGGTGATAAAGATCCGAGCAGAAGGCGAGGATCTTTAGCCCCGATACAACACGCTCTCGAGTTCTGTATACGGCTTATCAACCTTTATAATAATTCACATTTTCATGTTTTTGAAAAATTGATCAAATATCTTGCTGCATTTCATCGATTAAAATTATTAGCGGTAACGTATGTCGCCGTTATTAAATATTCGTCAAATATAACTGTTTGTATGGTGCCATTGTTTCATGAAACGACTGAATTATCAAGGGAATTTCTAAATGATTAATAGAAAGTTGGATTTGGCATATTAGAAGCTTTTACTACTTACTCCTGAAAATTGTTTATTTTCCTATTGTTTTTTAAAGAATGTGCTTGCCAAACTATAGAAAATTAGAATTGTCAAAGGAATTGCAAGATATTAGGCACTCATAGTTAGCAAAAATTAAATCAGTTGGCTTCCATTTCTCCCTCGAAGACATGTCGAGTACGATGTTCCACAAAGTATTCAACAAAATGAGCCACAACCTTACTTTGCAACTAGCAAAATGACTGTGTGAACAAGAAAGCCAAAAATGGGAGCATCAGATTCAGTTTCAAAAACAGCGAGTCATTTCAAGATGCTGACACTAATCTTGAAGACATGAATGCCGAGTCGTTGATTTTTTGGATGGTCCAATTCATACAAGGCGGGGCGCGGAAACGAAACATTGCTTCAACATTGATTTTTTGTGTTTGATCATGTTTGATTTCGCGCGAGTTTAGACATTTTGAATATTTTCAGGGGAGTGGGGGGCTGATTATTACTCAACGTTTTCCTGATACAGACCTAATTAATAAAACATTAGTTCTGTATCACTGATACAGAACTAATGTTTTATTAATTAGGTCTGTATCAGGAAAACCTTGAATAATAATCAGTCCCCCACTCCCCTGAAAATATTCAAAGCCACCCCCAACTTTGAGCTTGCTGCACCTTTTAACGAATATAAAGGTATAATCACGTGATTAGATTCTCAGAATATCATTGGCTAATGACATTATGAATTATTAATGAGTTTGATAAGGTGTAATATTGTACTGTACTATTGTAGTACCTCTCAGCTTGATGTTCTAGTTGAGCCATTGAGTTATCTACAGCTTCTGTCCAAGCTGTTATGTCATGTTTCTGTGCAGCTGCTGGTTTAGGAAGTTCATACCTACAAAAAAGAAAAAAATATTTTTCATATCAATAAATAAAGTAATTTACTAATGTTCTGTGCAAAATCAAATACCTTTTCATGCTTAGAAGTTCCATTGGTTGTCTTTTACCAATTCTATCAAACTCATTTTTCAAAACTGGTGTCTAAGAAAAGGATATGGAGATAAATGTTACAATAAACATTGTATTTTGAAGTTGTATGTATTGCAGTGTCTCAATCTGTATTATTTGTGTGCAATAAATATTCAAAGTTCCAGATGCATCCAAAAACCTTTGTGATTGTTTCTTTTGCTTTACAAATGTCTAATTTTGAAAGGTGCTTCTAATTGATGACGAATTTTCGCATTTGAATAAAAATAATCGCGCAAATGATCTTGGTTTCACGTGGGCCTTCAAAAAAACATAAGTTTATAAACTTATAAATATCAGGCAGTCTTACGAGATATTTTTCGGCATTAGTCTTAGGAAGGAATTCTAAATAATTCTTCGTGGGTCTGTATCGTCTTGTCTCCTCTTCGACTAACTGATTTACCTGTTTACATAGAAAAATATTGAAACCTGTTAAGGAACAATTCCATAGCCCGAAAGAAGAATTTTAAGCTGATTTCACGACTTAAATTTGCAAGTTACAGGTGAAAATTAAGTACAGAACAATTAGAAAGTACACTTACCATTTCTCTGACTCCCGTTTCTTCATAACCTTGATCGTAATACGGCAGAGCGTCTGGTGCAACTTCATGTGTAGCCGCCATCTTGAAWTTAACAATACTCCCATGATTCCCTGTTTTCAGAAACCAACACAGGGAACCCAAGATTAGTTTAAAAAGTGTGCAAATTTACGGAATTATTTTATTTCTTTATAAAACAGGYGTTCAGGGTGATAGCAAAATATTTTCTTCCTAAACGCTCGTACTAGTATTTGAACTGAATCATTTTAAATTTATTTTTCTTTCTATTGGTCTTCCTGTGTTAAAATACACAGGGTTCCCAAGGTTAAATGTCTCCACTACTGAACGGTAAAACACATGTTCCTTTTGATTTGATATTTCTGTATAGTTCAATATACTTTGCGACTTTTCTGGTTAATGGTACAATAAGATGTTTACTAAACTCCTCTTTCGAATATAATTGTTTTGAATCTTGAAAAAATCCTCCCTTGTTTATTTCTTTGAGCATGCTCAGTACATAGTCATAGCAATTAAGGCTTGTTTCATGGTATCTGAAAGAGAGATTTAAAAAATATTATAGAATTGTGCTGTAGAAGATTATAAAAAAGTTGGTGAATTCCCCAGGGGGAGACTTTCCTATAAAACATGGTAGGTATRCKYGAAGGACCTTTTAGGGTTGAAAATAAAACCCTTGAGTACCTTTTAGGGTCATAAGCTGACTCCGTACCTTTTAGGGTCAATTTTTGAAGAACAGCAAAAAAAATTGAAGAAGTGTTAATAAAGAAATAGATTTTATTAACCTCAACAATCTATAGCRACATCGATTTTCTACAGTTTGTTAAACTTGGGCCTCTCTCTTGTTAAAGACGTCAAAAATGGTCGTATCTTCCAGGGTCTGGAATTAATGCCTGAATAATTGATGCGTACCTCTGTTGAGCATACCTACCATGTTTTATAGGGAAGTCCCCCAAGGGTCAATTCAAGAATCATCTCTAGAGCATCTGTCCAAAATGTGTGCAAAACAAACTAACCTTTCTGAAGACCAAGTATTTGATTTTGTACTCCGTTCAAGCACTGAATCCCACATTTGACTGTCAGCAGACTCCAATTCTAAGACAGCACACTGATTCCAATTGTCCTTTTCAATACATACACCTTGTTCGTCATAGTTATAAACAAATCCTACAGCAGGAATAGATAAATTAAACAAGTAGACTTTTTGTGACACTGYTTGTCACTTAATAATTGGCTGGTTGAGAATCAGTTGGGKGACCAAGAGAAGCGGGAGAGTAATGGAGTATAAGCTCTTTTTAATAGCCAGTATTGGATTACATGTAGGCTTATATCTTACCCTTTGAATCTGTAATTCCAATGTGGAGGTTTTCACCATTTCGATAATCCCTTCAAAAAACACATTATAAATATATATATATTGTACTTTTTATTAATCACAAGCTAAGGTAATAATACCTACATTGAATAAATTTTTTTACCTCAAAAAATCCCCATGAGTTTGTTTTACTAAAATGCAACAGCTCAGAGTCATGAAACTAGCGGATACCAGAGGACTTGGTACGCAAAATGGCGGAACAATCAGCTGGCAATTTTGCAATTTTAAACCACATATGGGACAATGTAAAGGAAAGTCAATGTAAAATATATTTTCTTGCCGGCTGCAATGTTGCATACACATTACTTTATCTTGTTTTGAAGAATTCATCGTTTGGACGATTTTGTTTTGTTTTGGTCTGATTTGCTCGGTCCAGCAACCTGGGTACCWCTATAAATCGCAGGCTCAGCAAAGCTCAGCTGTTTTTCCACGTGCACGGGTTRCTAACTAGAAGTCATGCAAAGCTTTCGTCGGTTTTTGCATTGTTCAGAGGCGATCTGCCCTCTAAACAGAGTCTGTCTGGCTTGCAGAACATTGCAGACTATCCCTAGAAGGACATTATTCAAGARATCGCCAAAAGACCACAAGGATGAAGAAAGAGCGAAGAGAAAAGTGGAAAGACAAAAATTGTAAGCAAAAACAGACACTAGCTCAAGCTTGCTTATCTTCTAAACGTGAGATCTGTTGCTTTCTTRTGAGATCTTTCCAATATTACATTATATTTCCAATATTATATTGTGCATTGGACTAGATCTCACATTGRTGAGGCTTTCACAAAAGGGAGACCCTCCGYAGGACAACATTGCCCCAGGAAACATCCCGGGGTAGTGATAATTTATCACAACTAATTGTATACATAATTCAATTTAAGGGTCGGTGAAATTACAAAAGGATACTTTGCAGATTTGAGAGGTTAGATGTTTTTAACATAATATCAATTACAAGTGCATTAATGATATCTRTGTAAGTTAGGCAATTGTAGAACACTGTGCTACAATGTCTGTAAACTATTTCACAGATTTGATAAATTCATTCTAGTTCTATGGATTATTTATCACACCTATAAAAAGAACATGGATATAAAAGGATACATAATAGAGCAAAACAGGAAAACCATGAAATAAAATCAAACTAAATACATGTACTAACAAAAAGTGGCTATTTAGAGACAATTTGTCAGTATCAATGAACCAGAACGCAATAAAGATGAATGTAAACTGGTCCCGTGAGGATTCATCTTGATTGTGTTCTGGTTCATTGATACTGACAAACTGTTTCTAAATAGCCGCTATTAGTTAGTATTTAGTTTGATTATATTTCATGGTTTTCCTGTGTTTGCTCTAGACCAAGTAGAATGAAGAAGCACCAAGCTGAAAACCTGAAAGCATTTACTGTGTGCATAGTTTCAGATTTTATTATTCTCCCCTTCCTACACAGGTTCCCACAAGGTACCAAGAAATTGCACTATAATTTATATTATTTTTCTTGCATAACTTCAATTGTGTTTTTTTGTTTTCAGAATTTGGTGAAAAGGGTGGCAAAAGATTTTTTGCATTAGATGAATTAATCGACAAAAAGGTCTGTGAGTGATATAATAAAGCAAACGCAAGATAACCATGAAGTAGAATCAAACTAGATAGTAACAAATATCAGCTATTTAGAGACAATTTGTCAGTATCAATGAACCAGAACGCAATGAAGATGAATAAAAAATAGTCCCATGTGGATTCATCTTGATTGCGTTCTGGTTCATTGATACTGACAAATTGTCTCTAAATAGCCACTTTTTGTTAGTACATGTATTTAGTTTGATTTTATTTCATGGTTTTCCTGTATTTGCTCTATACAGTAAATGAAAAAGCTATTTTCATTATAATAATATTATTGTCAATTAGAATATTTATATGTTTGTTAAACTGTTATCTACTTTCTATTTAGAGTGCCATATCATTTCCAGAATTGAATGCGAGAAACCTTCACAAAAGAGACATTAAGCTGAATGAGGAGTTTAGTGAAAATGTAACACTCGTACTACTGTGGTTAAGGGCAATTGGACAGGTAGATACATTAATGATCTTCAGTTAAATGCATGTATAAGTCAAAAAATCTGTGTTAGGTAAATCAAAGTTTATGCTATTTGCTAGTCGAGGACTATTTAACAATTAGACCTCRAGATCGAGTGAACTACACGCTGATAGCCCATGAGGCCGAGTCTRCGAGGCTGAATGGGCTATTAGCTCGTAGTCCACGAGGCCGAGAGGTCTAATTGTTTTAGTATAAACATACTAATTGGTCAAATAATGAAAACAAATTGAAATATCCTTAAAATAATTTMTGATTTATTTATTTTGATTTTCCCGCGAGTGGTCTATCACAAATTAGACCATTAGTAGAGTAGCCAATCACAGCGTAGTATGAGTGATAGACCATTARTATGTTTATACTAATGATGAATAGACCCCTAGTAGCAAATCCARTCCCAATGTAGGATTTGCAGTAGTCTACTAGTATGGTAATACTAATGAGTAATAKTGAAAGTTTACATTTTAAAATCATGATATTTTCTCCATAGAACATGTGYAGCAAGTACCGTGAGYCTTTCCTCACACAATWTCRRTCTCACCCAAATATTAAATGTTTTGAGGTACAAAATTATGATAAACATTGTTACATTGTAGCTCTATTGTCTCCTAAACCAATCAGATTGTCCAATGGGACATGTTATAATCTTTTAAATTTAGTGGAAACACTGGAGCCATTTGAACAAAAAGTGGATAAAGTTATCCATTGGTTAAAGTTATTAATTCCATGGATTTTATATGGATTTTATCTGCTGGATAAGTATTTACCTGGTGGATAGCTCTATTCTCCCTTTGTGTAACCAGCATCTGATGTTTACTTCATCAAATTTCAAACATTTCATTGATCTTGACTTACAATATAATGCAAAAAACATAACCTAATCTGTAATCARTCATAAAGGTGTTTTTTAATGCCCATAAAAATCTCCTTACCTTTCCTTTGTTCTTCTCTTGTGCAGATAAATGTCATTGATGGTGTYTTCTTTAAACTTATGAAACCTTTCATTGAAAAAAGTCTCAGAGACCAAGTACCRCAGGAAAACCAGGTAGACATTATACAAACACACACAATTATACACAAATTTTGCTCATTAATAAAAGTTCTTCTCTTGTGAAATAGAAAACTCCAGTTTCAAATTCATAGCCAAAAAAAACCGCTGCTTTATTTGAGAACAGATTCTTTTGCGCAAAGACCTGACCAAACACAAAAGAGAGCATGGGAAAAATTTTGTTATTACAATAGAATTGATAAATTTGCATTTTCCCCGAAATTGAGACAAACCCTGTATTCCTATAAGACCTAAGGTATGAACCTTCTGGGAATACAGGGTTAGCCTTAACTCGGGGATAATGTAAATTGTTAGCGCTATTCTACTAACAACATTTTCTTATGCTTTCTTTTGTGTTTGGTAAGTTCTCTGCGTAAGAGAATCTGCTGTTAAATRAAACAGCAATTATTCACTTTGAATTCRAAAATGGAGTGTTGTGGTTTGTTTGACTGTTTGCTTGTTCAGTTATTGTTCATTAGGACAATGAAATCAGGTTRTAACTATTCTTGCTTGTACTCACCAATAGAAGGTCTTCTATATCATAAAATATAAATTATAATTTTTTTCCAGGACAGATATCTATGTTATTATGGCAAGAGTGATCAAATCAAAAGAAGTTTAATCGAAAATGTCATAGTTGGCCATGCATTCTTGGTTGAYGGAACKGGAAAAGTAAGATGGAAAGCACATGGTCTTCCTACTAATGAAGAAATTCTATTCCTAATCAACTGCACACAAGAACTACTTAGGGAAAATCAAAAAAATCTGAGCATTAAGTACAAAAACTAAACTATTGGCTCAAGATTACTAAATGGTAATAGAAAATCAATTGAAAGGAATGTCAAATCTTTCTTTATATATAAAATATGATCAAGTAGAGACCTTTATGGGCATTTTAAAACTCCAAGCTACAAGAAAGTAGTTATCTCTTACTTGTTACTCTTTACAAGGATTGTGAAATGTCAAATAGTGTTTAAGTTGCATTTTCCTGTAGTGGATGGTTATAGATGTTGTTATTGTTGGTGTTGGTGTTGGTAGCAGTGTTGTTGTTGTTGTTGTTGTTGTTAGCCCTTACCAAGTCATCCTGGTAACACATTTTACACTATGGTTTTAAGTACCCATCAATACATTCATTACTCTAAGTAAATATAATCATGGTAATATTAATGATATCAATAACAATATAAGAATGATAGCGGTAAAAGTAGTGATAATAATTATTACAAAGCTTTGTATCTACATGATGAGGATTGAAACTCAGGCTTGTCGGACAATACCACACATACATTTTTTAACTAGGCTACAATACAATAATCATGTCACAAGGCATGCAATAATTCATATGAGGCTTAACATTTTCATGTATTAGTTCAAAGCTGGTAAATATAGCTATTTCAAAAAAGGTTGTCGGTTAAAATGRCGAATKTCAGTGGTCGAACAGCGACTGCACGACCGAAAGTAGCCATGGTTTTGTTGAAAGGCAATAACAACCRATTTATACTCTGTAAGATGGTCTGTGGTAAACAGTGGCTCCATTTTGTCTCCATTTCTGYSAAAGGTGAATCTAATTTAAGGGAAATTTTGTTTGTCAAAACAGTGTAACCATAGTCCCTTTTTGTCGTGCAATCTCCCTCCGCCAATTGCCGTTCGCTGTTCTCACCGAAAACGTTTTATGAAATAGCTGATACCGCAATGAACTTTGTCAAATGCTGGTCAGGACTGTAAAACTGCATACAGTCGATCTC